GGAGGTGGGAGGGTAAAGTGAATGGCTTGTTGATTAAGTAAGGAGGTGCCAGCTCAAAAAATAAGGTGATATGAGGGGATTTTTGACTACTCAAACATATTTTTTTTTTGGTGGGGTGGGAGGCATGCACATCCTCTTGCATATGCCATTGCGTTCTGATGCTAAAGGTAAGAAGTGGATTAGATAATTATTATTTTATAGGTATAAATGTATATATATATATTTTAGATGGATTATGTGATAATTAATTTTAAGGTTCCTCAGTACAAACAGTAAAGCAGAAAGCCTTTCGTGTACTGAAATATGAGCTTTTCAAAGTTCTTGAGACAGCTTTAGTCTACATGGACTTGAATACATCTCAGTGAAGATAATAGAAAGTTGTACTTCAATAAAACAAAATTGAGTTGTACTTGGAATCACAAGATGTGGACAGTTTTTGAGGACCCTCGAAAGTTATACTTAAATCATATAAAAGTAAAGCCCACATGATATGGTGAACTACTACCTATAGAATTCAGTTGATGGAAATGTGTTTAAGGGCCTTAAAGATATATGACTTAACATAATAAGGACATGTACTAGTTAAAACTCGAGTTGAACTCCAATTACATAAAGGGTAGAGAGTATTTTAAGGAATTTCTAATGTTCTGCTTAGATGGAGGGAGACATTATGGTAGAAAGAATTTGGTTAAGATCACACTAGAGCCCTAGTATCCAGATTGGAAGCTAACCGTTATTACTAACCGTTCACCCATGTGAGAACGCCTGATCTGGATACGCTAACGGTTGACAAGTGTGTTTCTATCATTAATCATTTTACACATACACATTTCAAATTTCCAGTTTGCTGTTGGCCAGTCCCACCGTAATCTTCTTGATATCCGGATCGGGGATTTTGTTGTATGAATGCAAGGGTGAGCATGTATGTTATTTATCTGGATCCTGCTAACGGTTAGCTGGTGTGTGTGTGTGGGAACATATAGCTTTTGTGTTTTACATTAAATCACAGATGAATTATTGAGGTTGTTTGAGAGACCTTGAATTATATAGTATGAGTAAACTACATCAATTAAGAAAATCTTATCATAATTTTGTGTAACCATTAATTTATTAAACTATATTGTGTAAAATATGCATGTAAAATATCAGCATTGATTTTC